GAAATGGGGTCTTGGTTTTGAACGTTTGTTTTCTAGAAAAAAAAAATGGGGGAAAAAAAAAGGTCTTGAAAGTGTTGAAATTGCATCTTGACACTTAACCCCTCCACCAATGTCTGCTTTATATTTAACTTATAATCCAGCTCTATAGTTGCAGCCCCAAAACCTAAATGAAACCATTTGAAGTGCAGTGTTTCAACTGACCTGATCTAATTTGGGGTTTATACGTTCACCAGACGCTTTGAGATTAAAGTGTTCTGTCTTCACTTAACTGTCTTCATTTAAGTATGGAAATATTTTCAAGCCTCAAAATTCATCCCACGATGGGGAAAATGTCTCCCGCTCCTCTCTCTTCACAGTTGGAGGAAATGAAGGACGGAGTCACAAGATTTAAAGCAATTCACTTACCACACTTTACTAAGTTACAGTTCAACTACAGCAGTTGACCGTGTGCCTGTTTTTAGCTCAATAGTCACTTCTGGTTCCTGCAGCCAATACCATCTCCTCTGTGCAGTCCCTCCAAAAACGTTTCTTCTGCAGTGCTCACAAAGCAAGTTCATATCCCTATGCATGAGTTGCCAATATAATTTATTCCAGCAACTTATCTCCCTTTTCCCAGCAAAACAGGCTAGCCCATTGTCATGTCTTTGTGTGTGAGCTCTGCTCTGTCTGCTGCTCACGGTGCAGGAGAGGTTATGTTCATTAGCGCTCCAGATGAAATTGCCAGTACGTAAGAAGCAATGAGTAATCTCTGTGTTTTTTCCTCTCTATTCATTGCTAGGTCATTGTGGGAGGGTCCTTCTGCTGCACCATATTGTGAGTTACTGCTGTCACCCAACATTTGGTCCTGGGGGTTATTACCTAGAGCATTAGGAAAGCAGGATGCTCTGCACGCTGCCTGCCTGTCACACAGCTCAGTTCCTGAAGCTGTTTGCCAGCTCTCCATCTGGGATGTTAAGTTTTCAAGAGGGGATTCAACCACTTCCCACTTTCAGTCTCTGATGGCTTTTGCACCCCAGAAGTGTTTCCCAGCAGACTGAAATCTCACTTTGTTTCCCACGTTTAAACCCACCATCTGTAGAGCAACTCCCTTTGGTGTCTGCTGTTTCAGAGGGGCCAAGTGTTGCTGCAGGGAGACTCTTCAACAATTTCTTCACCACTTAATGTCAAACACTCTGTTGTTGATAGGGCTGCATTTAAGTCTGCAAGTTTTTACCCACAAGCTGCTCATGGGCATCTTGCTCCCTTCAGTTGTTCTTTGCCTGTGTTTTAGTGTATCTTTGCTTGGATTCATTTCTCTTTACAGATACATTAGGGTGCATTCAGATTGGATATTAGGAAAAATTCATTTGTAGAAAGAGTGGTGATGCACTGGCACAGGCTGCCCAGGGAGGTGGGGGAGTCACTGTCCCTGGAGGTGTTCAAGAACTGTGGAGATGTGGCACTGAGGGATGTGGTGAGTGGGCATGGTGCGATGAATTGGGATTGGACTTGTTGATCTTAGAGGTCTCCTTCACCCATCATAATTCTATGATTCATTATTCTCCCCAGGTGGCATCTTTGCTGTGGATGAGCAGTTGTGCTCACAAGAAGCCTAGACCCACGCTCAGTCTTTAATGTGGGACCAGCTTCCCACTTTGAAATGTGTTATGTCAATTGTTCTTTTCCAGCCTCCAGGATTTAGATTTGGAGATGGAAGTTTCTCAATAAGGAAGGCTCCTGCCTGCCTCTTAGCCAAAACATTGGGAAAATGGTGGTAAACTTCCCTCTCAGCCCATCCTGGACTTGTGGGCTGTACTTTTATGACATGAATTTACCACAGTGCTTAGGTCTGGTGTTCCATAGCTGGTTCTTGTCTTTCTTCTCTATGCCTTACTTTGCTGTTTTGTGTAAGCTCATCAGATGCACCCTGGGGCTGACAGTGGCAGCTCAGGAGAAAAGGTAAAAATCAGTGCCATCGTTTTATTTTTCTTCATCTTTTTTGGCTCTGTGAAGGCCTGAAACTTCCAGGAGGTGCTAGGAGAGTTAGCTAAACTGTAAAAGAGAGCAAAATCAAGAAACAAAATCCTAGAGTGATGCCATTCTCATAATGTGCAGAAATACCTTTGTGCAGGTTGTTAGCTGCTGGGGCTGCATTTAGGCATGTGGGATAACCTGATTACAGAATCAAAGAAAACCCTGTTAGCTCCGCAGGCCAAATCCTGCCTTACAGCAACCTGATGTCAAATGGGTGTGAGTCGAGGAAGCTTTCCCTTTGGCATCGTGTGGTAACACCTTGAAGAGAAGGGTTTGAGCCAAGGATCTAGCAGGGAATGAGGCTTAAGCAAATACACTCCCAGACAGGGAGTGAACCAGAGTCTGAATCTAATGACTTTGTTTTTCCTCAGTGGTACAGACTTAGAAGGATGAAAAGAATTAATTTCTCAGGTCTGATTTTTGGATTGTACACAAGGTTTAATCAAGAGTTGGTTAATTTAAACCGCTTGTCATGCTGTGAAAATGTCAAATGGTGCAACTGAGCAGCAATTTGGGAGCAAAGACTTGTGTTTTCTGAAGGCATAATCCAGAAACATGATTACCTGCTGTTATGGTCACTGCAAAACTCCCACTAAGCCAGCATCACACGTGATGTCAGGCTGGGATGATCCCTTGCAGCCTGAACACTGTCTCTCTGAGATGTGTGAGTAGAAGTTGCACTAGATCTTTAGTGAGAGCATTTCCAGGCCGTGCTGCTTGGGGATGGATCGCAGCTGCTCGTTTCTGCTCTGCTCGTGGTACCAGGCCGATTGTGCTCAGCTTTGCTGTCAGCAGAGCAGCTCTCCGTATGCAAGTAAGCTGTGAAATTCCTGGTTATGTTGTGGGTGCTTAGTGTTTATTGGAATTCAGAAGACTATTAGGAAAGTTCATGGGAGGAGCATCCACCCGAGGCTATTGAGCAGAGAGGTCGAGCTGTGGCTCAGGAAGCCCTAAGCCAGAAATTGCTGGAGGCTGGGAGCATGTCCTGAGGAACTGCTGTGCTTTGTTTGTTCCGTTTTCATTTGCCCTTGCCTTCTGTTGTTGACAGCTCTTGGAAACAAAGCAAGCAATGACTTGATGAGGTAAATGCTCCATACCTGCATAGTTGTCATAGATGATGCTTTATGAGTGATGCAGTCTGCATCTGCAGGTATGCGGCATTCCTTCCATGGTGGTACAGAGAAAGCAGCAGGGATATGGACTGCGATGATGTGATCTGCTTATGCAGAGCAAAATGTTGCATTTGCCAGGTTATTCCTCCAAGTGCAAAAGTATTGACTTTGCTTTTTCTGGCATACCAGCTACCGTTACAATGATGATGATGGTGACAGCAACCAGACATATAGGCCAGCAATAATTCTTTCTTGCCCATTATTACAAATCATAAAGCAAAATCCAGGCTGAAACCAGTGCCAGTCTGGCTGTGTTCTCTTTACAAATGTGTTAGGCCATTCTCATATGGGTTTCAGTTCAGGCCTTTTCATACCAAGCTTTCCAGAGCCAATCTCTTTGATCTTCTGATATGAACCTGTGTGTATACGTTTGTATCTTACCAGTGATTTGCAGCCCAGAGATAACATCCAATACATATGTGTGAGAGTAGAAGTAACCTTTCTGAGGGTGATTCATCTCCTGACAGTACATTTTGGCTGTACATGTAAGAACTGGATATTGCCCCTGAGAATATTGGCTTGAAGAAGCAATAACAGTGTGGTCAGTCAAAGTACTATTTTCCCTGGGAATTTTGTTGCATGAGAAAAAAGAAGAACTTCAGCCTTCCTTTGTTTGTCAACATGATCTGCCTTTCAGCAACTTTTTCTGTCCCATTAAATGTGTCCTTTTTTTCCTGTCCTCATATCTATGTATCTCAACCATAATCAGTATTATAACCATAGGTATTCTGCCTTATCCAAGATTCAAACATTAACTGATAAAATTTGATATCTCCAGGTGCATCAAGCAAGGATAGTGAGTGAAATTCATTCTTCTAAGCTTCAATGAAATGACCCAAATCATTGCCATAGGTTTATTGGTAGTGGCTATGTGTTTTGCACCTTTGATTCATGGCACATGCATTTTGGGTGCTTGGTTTGAAATGGCTGTTTGCACAGCTGGGGTCAGAAGGGCTGGAGTGTCTTGTGGGCAGCTGTTTGGAGCAGAACTACTCTGGTGTTTCAATAACTGACTACAGGGATGAGTGAGAGTTGAAATGAGGCAAATTGCTCAGTGTAGCCCACTTGAAGGGCATTTTATTGGCTCCAGTGCTTCAGGAGCAGGCTGGCACACCTGTGAAGTTGGCATACCTGTAAGACCAGGAGGATGGCTTTGGAAATAGCATTTTAGTCATCATCTCAGGCACTGGGAGATAGAGATAAATGATCACATGAAGTCATCCTGAACTCGTGCCCATGCAATGCTGTTGTTCCTGGCACTGTCTTGTTTACTCCTAGAACTTGACAGTTGTTTTCTTGCTAGGGGAGGAAGATTAAGGCTTACTTACCAGACAGATAAAGATTTCTTAGGGTGGAGTAGTTACGGTGTCTCTGTAGACACCGTAGAGCCCCAGGAGCATGAGCTCTAGCTTTGCACTGTGCTTCATGGAGGTTTTGTCTGATAACTCAACTGCAAAAAGTAATTCAGACTGGGCAGTATGGATGCAAACATGCAGAAACATTCTTGGCTAGAGAAGCTTCAGTATCTTAGAAACATCCACCTGATGGATCATCCCTGATCATTTCTCAGAGCTGCTGAGTGAAGGCTGTGATTTTTCTCCCAGGGATTACACAGCTTTGCATTTTCATGTAATACTAAAGGCCTGATCCAGGCCCTATGCTGTTTACATGCTCTTTGTTGATTGTATTGCAGTTATCTAGAAGAAATGAAAGCACCTAAAGCCGCTGAGTAGCACTAGCCTCCAGCCTGACTGACCTTTATAAACATCCTGCTGAGATGGAGCTCTAACCTGCTTGTGTGTGTTTTGTTTGCAGAACACACTGGAGCAATGCAGTGTATGTGCAAAGCCCATCATGGAAAGGATCCTCCGAGCCACTGGGAAGGCCTACCATCCCCACTGCTTCACCTGTGTCATGTGCCATCGCAGCCTGGATGGGATTCCCTTCACCGTGGATGCTGGTGGGAACATCCACTGCATCGAGGATTTCCATAAGTACGACCCAAGCTGCTCTTCACTTGCTTTGTTTCTTGTCTGTCTCTTTTGTCCCTAAAAATATTCCTTATTCTCTCTGAGTGTCCAGAAAGATATGAACCCTCTGCCACTTCCTCTGAAGACTCTACGAAGTAGTTAGAGCTTTGCTTCAATCAGGCATAGTGTGGCATACAAGATTAACTGGTTAGTGGCTAGTAATGCTTGATCTCTGTCTTGTGTAGATCTGAATTTATGGGTAACCTCTGTGCTCATCTATTTAAAATGCTCTGCACTCCTCCCTGCCTTCCCTGAGCTCAGCATGTGCACATTTCTCCTTGGCTGTACCTGTGCTTCCACATCAGTGTCTCTCCCTTTCTTCCACCTGAGCAATTAAGAGAGGTCCTGTGCTGTTGCACTCAGCAGGTGTTTGCTTACCAGCTAGAGGGATCGAGGTGGCCACAGGACACTCATAGTTTCTCTTGTTTCTGGTTGCTAATTAGCTTTTTAAAGCTCCTAAAAATACAGCCCTGCTAATAATTTATGGTGAAACTGCCATTTAAAGCAAGTTGAAAGATATAGTTGCAAGGCAGCTCTGTTGCTGCCACGCTACCACCCCCATCATCACATCTAAGGAAGACATGTAGATATAATCAGAGCACAAATGTTTCCACTGTATGGAAAAGACAGACACGTTACACCCCTCAATTAAAAGAGGAAATCAATACTGACAAATGTGAGTTTACGTCTCAACCATTTATCTCTTAATTTCTAAGAGGGTAGACTTAATTTGAGCCTCGTGACATCAGTGTGTGGGCCTGAAAGCTCAGAGAAGCAGACTGACTTGACAGAACGGAAAGCAGCCACAATCAACTTGCATGCTAAAATCCAATATGAGGATGTTCCCTGTAGCTCAGATAAGTTGGGTTAATTGACAGGTGCTGAGGCGGCTGTGTGCTGTCTTGCTTTTCTGTGCCAGCAGTCATGTGAAAGATAAAAATTTGGTCCTGAGCAGAGGCCCAGTGTGAGGCTAAAGCATCAGTCGTGCTCCTGAAAGATTTCCTTCCAACCCACTTATGATTTGGAGACTGCTTCTTCCCCAAGTCCTGGAGCCTTCCGAAGAATGAGTGGGAGCAAGAGCTGCTGTCCCATCCTGAAGTCCTTTGGCTGTGAATAAATCTGGATCTTACAGCTCTGAGAAGTGGGAGGCTGTCAGTCCAGACAAAGGACATGGAATTGCTGAGTGAAAGATTGAGGGGGAAAGAGCTAATGGAACATCCAGAATGTCTTCAGGCTTCCACGTATTTAGCAGCACTTTGGCTAGTCTCATTTTAATTGGTCAGTGATGCCCTCCTCCTGGTCTGGAAGTTTAGTGCTTGACATCTTGTGCATTGTTTTGATAACAGAACTGTACCTGAGGTCCACACTGTCTCTTAGCTACCTCTTTAGCTTGGGGCCCACAGAAGCACATCCACATCCCTTGAAATCTACAGGAATCATTTCTGGGTCGCTGGAGTTAATATTTGGCTTATAATGAATTACCCACAGCGGCCTGGACAGAGAAATGGTGAAGTATTTTTAAACACCACAATAGAGTTAATGGCACAAGGAAGCACCTGCATGAAGCAGCATATAATTAACTGCGATTACAGCTCCGGTCATATCATGATCCATGTAAGTTATTTTTCAGAGCGCTCGCTATAGCCGCTGTTTAATTCATTTTTTTGTTAGATCACAGCTACACAGGCATCTTTCATCTGCTGCCAGTGAAATTAATATTTTTCTTTATTCCTAGTACAGATAGATTTTAATTTTTTTCTAAGCTAGTTAATTCTGGGGTGGTTTCTGTGACAGACTGGGTGGCAGAGTCAATCTTTCCTAGGCATTTCATCGGAGAACGGTCTTTGATCTCCTTGTGTTCTGTTGTTTGCCACGAGCATTTGCCCTCTGTCACTGTGTAGCCTGTGACCCCAGCTCTCATTAAACAGCAGCAGATTCTGTAGGTACAAGTTTCTATTTTTTTGTGAGGAGAAACTGCTGCCACGGAATTGGTTCCCCTAGGTTTTGATCCAAAACAGCAAATAATGACTTGTCACAGGCTAAATGTTCCCATGGATGCCCACTTGCCTGGGAGCAGAGATCACCACTTCTCATGGGCAGCTGCAGAGTACTAAACCAGAACATAGCAAATTAGGCAGAAGGTCATATGGTGGACAACATAAGATAGAAAGAAAAGGCCTGTGCTCCTCTCGATTTCTGAAGCGACCCTTAGTCAAGCCAGTCCTATTGCATAGTGAAGACACCGCAGTCTGTGTCTCTTCCTTCTTCAGGAAATTTGCACCAAGATGTTCAGTGTGTAAGGAGCCCATCATGCCAGCCCCGGGACAAGAGGAGACTGTACGCATTGTCGCTCTGGATCGTGACTTCCATGTCCAGTGCTACCGGTGTGAGGTTAGTATTCTGATTGCACGAAGCGGAGAAATCAAAGGTTGGTATAATTTCATCACTGCCTTATGTTATATGCATGACAGGCAAACTCTATTGTAACGCTGTCTCTACTGTCAAATTACTTCACTGACTTCAGCATGCGAGGAATTTTTCCTCATTTATATCAGTGCAAATGAGAAGAAAATCAGGTCCCTTGTTTATAACAGGTTCATTAGGAGAGCAAGAGAATGTGACTCAGTTAATTAGAGCTTAATATTTGAGAACATCATAAATTATAGCTTGGACACAAATGTTGCTCATGTTTATATTCTTAAAATGAAAGCTATGCATGTTAGAATTTGAGCAAGATTGTACAGGAAACTCAACATATGGCTCTGGGTTGAAGAATTTTAATGGACACATAAACATGATTATTCTTGTTTTGTGCAGTGCTTTTTGTGGTACTTTTCTGTTCAGTTTCATTATACACTTCATATAATTTTGATGGTAAGAATCTGAAGACAGAAGAAAAATCACCTTAAAGCAATTAACATGTGGGAACAGCTGTGTTAAGGAACCTTCAAGAATTCTTCAATGCAAGCGTTACTTGCTGGATAATATATCAGGCAGATGGCAGAGTAAGAAAATGAGACCAAACGTATTTCTTGTCACAATTGCAGGTTTTAATAACTGACTGGAAAGAAGGATGGACTGAGGCTTAAAGGTCTGGGCTGAGACGAGGCATCTGGTTCACTTCAGTCTGTCACTGGTTTCCAGGGTTTAACTCATTACTTAGGCCTAGTTTTTGTAAGGCATTTGGGTATTCACACACTACACTTTGCAGAGCCTAATTCATCATACAGGATGTCCCCATGCTGGCTGTTGAGATACCTGGGCTTCGTGCACATGGATGTCAGAGGACACAGGCGCACAGCTCCTTGAAGTCCAACATAGGTCCTGGATCAGTACATTATTAGCTTAGAGCATCATCTCACGGCCAACTGAACAGCTGCAGATTTGACCTTAAATGCTCATGTTGATTTGCTGGTCCAAAGATTGCTAAGCTATCATCTCTGCATAATGCAACTTTCAAAGGTGCTGCATATTAGTAAGACAACAAAAATGAGCTGGACTCCCAGATCAGTAAGGTACAGCAGTCTTTTTGCAACGTCTGAAAATCCTTCTGTATTTTGGCCTTCACCTCCATGTGTCTCAGCTATCTCACGTGGAGCAATAGCAATCTTTTTTTCCCTACTATTTCCTTACCAGCTGTACTTACAAACAGAGATTTATGGCGAAGAGACATGACCACTAAGCAAGCTGTAATCTTCTCAATGCAGCTCCATCAGCAGTTTGTTCCCAAATGATTGTCTGATCACACAGGGAGGAGTAATTCCCAGTGTTCCAGCAGCTATACTTGGCTCTACATGAGGCTGAGGTGTCCGGGGCAGGTTTTGGGGCCTTATAGTGAGATTTCCACTCTTCCTATCTCAGTGATATCCTCCTTCAGCCACAGCCTTTTGCACCATCTGCAGTACAAACACAGGTGACAGTTCTGTTCATGGGTGACAGGCAGGGAGTTTGCTTAGCGGTCACCCCTGAGAACAGGATATTGCAGCTTTGTGGCATCAACTCATCCAAAGGAGATTACCTGTAGTTAGATATTAGTACCAAACTTCCTTTCCAGGGATACTTCCTTTTTATCTTTTTTTGCAATAATAAATATGTGGTTAAGCTTGATGCTTTCTCCAGTGCTAAAGACCTTTCCTTCCTCAGAAATGTGAAGGGAGTAATCTCCTTTTATTTTCAATTGGATTAAATTCAGCAGACAGCTTGGGAACCCATCTTGTCTGCAGCATTGTCTCTTATCAAGAAATGTCTTAATCATGAAAGTCATCACATACCTCAGCTTCATGCTTTGCGCTGACTCAGGCTGGATCCTGTTACAAGGTGGAGAGTAAGGAGAGCTGCTTTGTCTAATAGATTCTTCAGGTAACGTGGTTCATATTTCTTATTTTGCTCTGTTTGCTGGTTTCCTAGGACTGTGGCGGCCTCCTGTCTGAGGGGGACAATCAGGGCTGTTACCCTCTGGATGGGCACATCCTTTGCAAGACCTGCAACTCAGCTCGGATCCAGGCTCTGACCGCCAAGGCCAGCACTGATCTCTGAGTACCAACTGTGACCCTCCCCAGGATGCCTGCTGGGGGAATTGCACAAGCTTTGCATGATTTCTTTCCAGCCTAGGGCCTGAATCTTTGTTTGTTTGTTTGTTTTAAAAAAAGTAAAACTGGAAGGCCTTGGAGCAAGAGGGCGGTTCTGTGGCCATGTTCAGACTGCCAGCAACAGGCACCTAACTTAGGCATGAGTCTTCCAGAGGGTGGCGAGTCAGACCACCAGCTGCTAAGTTATCTGCCTGTGGAAGAAGGGCTGAACTGGTGAAATGTGGCTGAGCTAGTTCCTTTTTCCAAGTTATTTTGGAAATCTAATCATCTATGGGGATCTTCTCTTTGGTTTTAATGGATCACCAGCAGAAGTAGCTCCACTGTCACAGAGTGTGTGAAGCCAGTGTGAGAGCAGAACTAGCACTCCTCATTACAACTCAAACAGCACAACTTTGACAGTACTGCACCTAAGGGTGTAGATGTGACCTTGAGCTTTTTGGGACACAGATTTGTTGTCTATGCGTTTCTTCTTAGGTCCTTACTTGTCTCCATTCCCTTCCAGTTCTATAGGTGGTTTTTTGTTTTTTTTTTTTCTCTTTTTTTTTATGGAATTATATTTTTGCTATTGCATAAACTTATTCAGTAGTGATGCTTCCAATTCACAGTATATGATTGCTCAATCACAGAAAGATGTGAGCTTGCACACACACACACACAATGTGCTTTTGATTTAGTAGAGGTATAAGCCAATCATGTCTGCTGAGAAGGTCTTTTAAGGATCTGGGGCTAGAAACTCTCCTTAAAAATCCCAGTGGTTAAATAAATAATAGAGAAAAAAGACTACATTGAACTGCAGTGCAATGCGATGCTCAAAAAAATCTTATGCCACTCACAATAGTGGGACCAGTGGCTGTGCTGGTTTCTGGGTAGATATTTAATCACTGGAGTCTTGTTCGATTGTTTATTGAAATGGGAGGATTTTCCTTCAGCTGTAACAGGAACTGAAGCAGGGATAGACGTCTCTCTGAAGTTAACACACATGATCTGGAGCTCCTATTGGAAAAGGTATCTTATTCCAACAACGGCAAAAGAACCATGCAGTTGTTCAGTTTTTGTCATAAAGCTGAAGAAGGTGTTAAACCCTTCTCTGTGCCATCCCAAAAAGCAAATGATTTTTTTTTCTTTCATTTTCATCCCAGCCACTTATTACTCCTCTCTGGTGAAATGTCATTGCAGAAAAGTGCTGGGCCAGGAGCAGCACTTTCATCTTCTGTCCAGAGGTAATAGATGTGCCAAGGTAAATAAAAAGCTGGGCAGAGATAACCTTTCTTTTTGTCATGTTGGTGTTCATAGGCCTTTTTTTTTTTTTTTTTCATTTTGCTAATTAAAAAAATAAATTATAAATTCATGGCTCACTCTGAGCAGCTATAATATTCTTGTTCATGAAACCCATAATAACTAAGGTGCAAATTACATAGTGAGGGAGTAATTTTCGTATCACTGAATTGACATTAATATCTTATTTGCAGATGTAATCAAAGAGAATACCTTTCTTTGCACTTAACAAATTAAGAAGCAGAACTGAAACAGTTGCGGACTGATTGACCGTATTAGTGACAAACTGGCACTTTTCAACAGTATTAGGAGAATTTTTTCATGTGCCCCACTGAAAAACAATGAAAATGTGGTGCTTTCATCTTCAGTCTCTATAACAGAAACCTGATACAATTATTTGAATGCTGGAGGAAAAGAAAAGAAGGTTAGATGAGCTGGACTGATAGGAGACAAAGAAAAACTGAAATGGTCACTGCAGCTTCTGAAAATGGTGCGGTTCCTTTCAGTTTAGCACTAACCTCTATGGAAGAGCACTGTGAACTGTAATAGCTTTAGCTGTATACAGTAAATTCAAATACAGAAATACCAATCTGAAACCTCTGTTCCTCACATGGTTTGTATTTTGGCAAACTCCTTCGGTGTCAGGGAAGATTCCCAAAATTCACAGCTCAAAATGAATCCTTCTTTGTGGAAGGGTGGCATCATTAAGCAAAAGAAATCGTTCTCCACCATAGCGGCTGTACTGAAGCAGTTTGCCTTTTTATACTAGATTTCTGCCCTGGCCTTCAAGAATTTTACTGCCTCAGACATAAACAGACTTTTTTGCAGGGCGACTCCTGCCAGATTCCATCTGGGCTCCTGCTCCCTGAACCGTGGCACGTAAGATTCTTCTGAGCTCGCTTTTTACAGGCAGCCCCTTCACACAGCAGTCAAAAACTCTTGCATCTAGTGAGCGAATCCAATTTGAATTAACCCTACAGGAACACTGGAGTTCAGAGCTAGGGTTGCTAACGCTGCTAGTTTTACATCTCTGCAGTCACAGCGGACCACCTGATGCATCCAAGCATACGAGAAGCCATTCATCAGGCAGCTCTGAACTTTGTTCTCGTTAGTGTTAAATCGGGTGGCTGATGAGACTCTCGTGAATACCACTGGGGTAAGTGATGGAAACAAGCTTATGTATCTGCCTGCAGAATGTGGCCTAGAATCAGGAGGACTGAAGTCCAGAGCCCTTGGGCTTTCCATGGTCATGGTGTAGGTTGGAATTGGGAAAGTTGTATGGCTTCTTGTCCTTTACATGAGCAAGTTTCTTTACAACTTCCCAGAGATGCTGTGAGAATTAAACTAGTCAAAGATTGGCCCAAACTCCTGATTTTGGAGTTTTGTTTTCTCCTTCCAGAAAAGTTTGCTGGTATGTAGGTTTGGGATTCCAGCCCATTTCAAAGCAAAGGGCCAGCCAGGAGGTGTAGATCTCAATCTGTGTTATTAGGGTGCTGTGGTGAGCTGGGCTGGTGTGCAGGGAGGTGAGAGCCAAACTTTTCACACATTAAATACCCAATGGATGAAAAGTGGTTGTCAAAGATTGAGTCGTATTATTGTTTGAGGTACTGTGGCTAATTTCTGGACCTGATGTATCTGGGCAAGGATACTATCGTGCTTTTGTTTTCACCCCTGAAACACCAAAGCCATCTGCCTGGAAAGATTAAGCGTCTAAAACAATTCTCTTTGTTTTCTGTTATGCAAGTTGTTTTGGCTTCTAAAATTGCTGTAAATATATTTGGAAGACAGTGCATATATGTATATGTACATATATATGTATGCAGGTAACACAGAGGCTCTCATCACCCACCTGTTCATGGAAAGCTCCCCTCTGATGCTTCAGGATTTGACTAGATAATGCTGGTGGACTTATCTTAGTTGCACTGCAGTAAGAACCACTGGGATATTCCTGCATCACAATATTTATCACATTTTGCAATACAACCTCATTTATCTGTTCCAAGAAGGAGGTTTTTGCCAAAGAGACCTTATCTTTTTAAGGTGCACATGTTAGCCATAAAAAAAAAACACATATATATATATACATATCACTTCATTTGTGCCTGTGGTAAAGTCTAGACTGTTTTCAGAAAGAATTGGAAGATCACACAGACACCTCTGTTTGAGTCTGCAGAGTTTTTGCTTGTGCTGCTTTGGCCTCTTTGAGCATTTGTTGGCAACTGGGGTCTGATCCTGTGATTTGTGTGGCCAGACAGGGCACAGAAGGGTCCAGGAATCAGGTTCTAATTTAGCAAAATGCTTAAGCCCGTGGGGATTGTTTAAGTATAGGCTTAAAGCCATTGCATGGTGTGTTATAAGCTATGGGTCTGCAGTTGTTAATGCCAGACTGACTCTGCATCTCTCCATCAGATAAATTGGAGCTGGGTAGGATGGGACCACAGTCAAATTTATGCTAAACTCACTTGAACGTGTGGTACAGCTCCTGTGTCACCTTTATGCAGGAATGCAAACAGCAGGAGATCGAAAGTAACATCTGGACACTGGGAGGGTGCGTTGTTACAAGATCAGTGCTTGGCATGGGGTGGCTGTGGCACTTTCCATATGTCACAAATAGCCCCACAGCCAGATTTACTGTCTTTGAACCATGGCTTTAAATGTCTGCTTAAAGTTTCTCCCAAAGCTTGGGTTGCCTTGGTTACAGCCCAATCCTTATGCACATCCCCAAGGCTAACACTACAATTTTATGAATGTGATGGTTTTATTGTCACTTATTTTAATCATTGCCTGAGCGTTGCTTTTAAAAACAGAAAGCAACACCATTGCTTTAGCTTATCAGATAATGCACCTTTGATTTTGTTGGGTTTTTTAAATATATTAATTCTTGGATTTTTATCACAACTGCAAAACACTTGGGTAATGACTTAATCACAGAGGTGTGAAAGTAGCAAAGTATTCATCAGAGTGGACTCTATATAAGGTGTTCAGCCTGATGGCAGGTGCAAAACTTCCCTGGGATGTGGGCCTTACATTGATTTCCTGCCTATCAGCAAAGTGTGCCTGAGAAGAATGAGGAAAAGTTGTGTTTTGAAGAATTGGTGGTGGTTGAAGGGAATATGCAACAAGTCATGCTGAAATCTCTTTGAACCCGCTCCAGCTCCTGCCAGACTGTGGTCAGCAAAGCCTAGCCTAGGTCTGATAAATGCTGGTTTTAGGGGAACGTTGCTTTTGATTTTGAAGTAGTCCAGCAGATGAGGGATAATAGGACCCCAGAGAAGGTCCACGGTTGCCTTCCTTTGGTAACCATGCTAGACACTTAGTGCCTTGGATGAACAGCTCAGAAAGGAATTGAATTTTGAACTGTTTTGTTATTGATGTCTGATTCCTGCAGTTGGTTCATCACATTGATTTGATATTTCTTCACAGAGCTGTGTTGCCTACACTTGCCATACATTTCAGTCCTGTAAATCAGAGCTAGCAGAGATGTGGGGAAGAATCTTGTGGTGCAATTCCCAATCGAAAACACTAGTGATGGTATCAGAGGGTTTGTTGCCAAAGGATGGCAGGAACTACTCAGTACTATCTGGAGGCTGGAAAGCTGGAGAACACTATTTCCAGTTTGAGCTGGTCCCAATTTTTACACTAAATCATGTGATGTTGGAAGGGCCTTCTTTTTAATGAGAAATTCTCTCTTTGCAGTGTTATCCACAACGGTATTTCTTGCTGTTATAATTGAAACCTTATTCAGTTTTTATCTAAATAGATTTCAGAATTGTTGACAAATATTTTCATTTCTCAAAAATCTTTGTCTCCTTTCTCAATTCTTTTTTCCTTCTTGGGTTTCTTCTGCTGGTCAATTAAAGTTTCTGTGATGATTTTGAAAACTGTTTTGGATAAAAATTTATTAAAAAAAAAAAAAGCACATGTTCTTGGAAAATGGTTCAATGTTAGGCCTGGTGAAATTAAAAAAAAAAAAAAAAAAAAAAAAGCTTTTAAACTTCTCACAAGATATTTTTCCCCTGTTTTTGACTAACTGTGCTAACTTTGAAGTCACTGTTTCCTTTGCCAGAACAATCCAAATAATGTGACTCTTCTTAAAATAACAGTGTTACTTCTGTTGGGTTCGTTTTTCTTTCTCCTCTTAAAGCCGTAGTGTGGCTGCGGGAACTGCCTGGGACTTTGCTGTGGCAACTGCAGTTTTTTTCTTTATAATTACTGGGGGGAAAAAAGCACATTATGGCAACCGCCGTGAAGATCAAAAGATACTTACTGAACTTTGTCACCCTTCTGGGTTTGGGGATGGCATTTCTCCTTAGACATTTCTAGAAACATTACCTGTCTTCCTCAACACTTCAAGTCTGAATTTGCAGCAGTCGGTTGCCTATCTGGCATTCGGTGCTTCTGAGTATTGCAAGAGAGAAAAGACTTAATGCTCATGAAATTATAATGTTCGATTGGCATCTAGGAGGCCAAGAGAAAACCACAACCTCAGTAGGTTTCCTGGTGGACCTTAGGGAACGGCTCTCCTTTCATCCTGCAAGTTCTCTGCTGGGATGTGAAAACACTACGCTCAAACACTTGCAGACCACTCTGGTGTGTGCACTCACATGCACATGCAACGTGTTTGTGGTGCTACAACTGAGCACAATTATTTAGACTGTATTATTAAGTACTGCTGCTCAGACCCACTGGGCTTTTCTCCTGGCTGTGTGCTCCTGGTCTCCGAGCTGTTCTGTGACTGTGTGTGCTTGATCTAGCAGCTGGCAGCCTTGTGCATGACAAGGGGTTGGAACGAGGTGATCTTTGAGGTCCCTTCCAACCCAAGACACTCCATGATTCCATGATATAATTCTTTTGGCTTCGTATTATGTGTATAGGCAACTACCCGTGAATTGATCACTGGTATCAAGAGTGCTCAGCTCAAGCTTTCTTTCTGGTTTACTGCTTGTCCACATTTCTCATCATGACTAGATGATCTTTTAAAAAATGAGGAAAGAGACAGAAGCCCCAGGATGGCATTACCTTTACATTTCATAGACTCATAGAACTGTTTGAGTTGGAAGGAACTCTCAAAGGCCACCTGGTCCAACTCCCTGCACTGAACGGAGGCACCCACAGCTCCATCAGGTGCTCAGAGCCCCATCCAGCCTGACCTTGAGTGTCTCCAGGAATAGGGCACCACCACTTCTCTGGGCAACCTGTGCCAGTGCCTCACCACCCCTCAGTGTAGAACACTTCTTCCAGTCTAAATCTCTCTTCTTATAGTTTGAAACCATTTCCCCAGTCACAGCAGACCCTGCCAACGAGTTCATCCCCTTCTTTCTTACAGCCCCCCTTTAGGTACTGCTTTCCAGGGGTCAGCATCTCTTGCTGGGAAGATGACACGTGGGGTCCCTTTTTTGCCTCTGCCCTCCCTCTGCCACAAGTGGCAATCTTACCCTCTTTTTCCATTCGCTCAGTGTGCACTCCTTGCCGTGGACATGATTTGTTACTTACTGCACAGAGGTATTGCAAGGCTTAGATGGCAGTTGGAAAAACTTTTCCAGATCTTTAGTCAAGTAGTTTTATGCATCCACAGTATCAGTGGCCTGCCACATGGATATCAAAGAAAATGATTATAATTATTGCTTTTAAAATGATTGTGAAATTGTGCCTTACTTTTTCAGTCGTATTTAACCGTCTAATTTAGAACCACATGATTGCAGGGATCGTATCATGAAGAAATTTGTTTGAAGGATAGTTTGTTTGTTTTTAAAGATTTTTTTCTTCAAAAATGAATTTATTAAGTTTTTTTTCTTCTTTTACTGTTGTTCTTTTTTTTTTTTAATTTTCCTCCAATTTTATTCCTTTAATATGTTTGTGTAAAAAGGGCAGCCAGCATTTGCATTTGTGAGAGACAGAAGATTTTATTTGGTCTTGTATGCGGAGCTTTCATTTTCTTTTATGTTCCTTCAGGAAAATTCCTCCTTGCCCGATTACTCATACTTAGATGTCTTTAAACACAGGCTGACCAGTGAGGGCTTTTTGTTGTTTAATTTAGTGTGTGCTTTGCTCTGCGCTTTATTCTGCTTTTTTAATTATCCAGATATCGGGTGCTGGGGAGGCATTGCACATTAATGCAGAATGCTAATGCTCATTTTCATAGAAAAGACAAAATTAGAGTCTCTCCCCGTCTCCAGTGCAGTTTTATTTCTGTTTTGTGTACAACACCGATATTAAGCCAGACTGTAAAGGCAAAATACTCAGTGACCTACTTCCATTCACCAGCAAGAAGCCTTTGTCAGCTGACTCCTGTTTGTTTGTTCGTTTCTAAATGTCGGATTACAGAACGAGCATCTCCCAAAGATGAAAGAAAACAGTGTTTTCGTGCGCAGGAAATTTGGGGTTGCAGTAACAGAACATTTTCTTTGTGAATTTGGATGTTGTGGTGTTTTAAGCCCCTGCCTGGAGCCTAAATCAATTTGGCCTCTCATCCAGTTCATCTCGCTGGTGCTCCTAAAAGGCTGCAGCCCTGCAAAAGCTCATGCAGCATTTTTGGCCGCTTTCCCTTGCTCCCATTTGGTACATATTTGCACAATTTAACTGAGCTTTTCTTTCTGCTGAAGGTCAGATGCAAGCGATACGAAACACTAAACTTTATAAACAAGCAAAGCCATTTTAACCACAGCGTTTTGGAAAAGAATGGGTTTTTAGGTGGCGTGCTGTCTGCTGGCTTTTGGAGGGGGGGGATCCTGAGGGTATATTTGCCTGAAACAGGATGCAAAGCCACAAGCCTTGGTTTCTTAATAAACTACTTACTGTAATCCAGCTACACAGTTTCAGCCTCACACTTCAGAAGCAGCTTCCAACAGCAGTGCACGTACAGGCACTTTCCCTCTTCCTTGCAGAAAGTGAAACTTTCCCAACCAGTGCGAATTTAACCTATTGCATAAGAAGCTGGAAGTTTGATTGTTTGGGGTTTGTTTGTTTTTTTTTTCTTTGCGATTCTTTCTGTAACCTCTATAAGCAAAGGATGAATAGCTTTTCTTTTTCCTTTTTTTTTTTTTTTTTTTTGACAAGATTAGATGTTGCATATTGATGAGCTAGCATTTCAAAGGTCCGTGGGGCTTTGGAACGTATTAAGAATCTCTGAAGTTTAATATTCGCCACGTTTTAAATATTCAGGAGAAAAAAAATCTGCATAAAATGGCTTTTGATAAATGCGTTCTATGGGTTCTTCCTTGCTATCTTAACACAAGTGCTGTGGGGATTGTGGCCGTGCCAGTTTTGTTCCAAAGTGCCTTTTGTTTCAGCTTATCAGGACCGCTCTGTTCCCATTTGTATGCCCAGCACTGGTCCTGGAGTCTCCTATGGTTTCCACAGGAGCTGTGCTGCATGCAGGTGTGGATGAAGCATCTCAGAGCACATAGGGCAGCTTTGCATCCTTGGTTGTCCTCTTTTGTAAGAAGCTCAGTGTTAAGAAGAGTGGCATTCGGAGAAATCCTTCCTTGGGGATGCCCTGTTTCCCACCTCTGCTGAAGATCTCATTGAAGCTTTAGATTAGGATCAGTTAGGTCTGCATACACTCAGCTATTTTACTATATTATCAACATTCTCGTTTGCCTTCTCCTTGACATCCCATGCTGCAAACCATGGTGTGCAGGGCAGCCTCCTTGGTCCTGCTCATGTGCAGCCTTGACTTTTCCAAGTTCAATCAGTGCGGGGTGCTTTTCCTCAGAACAGCTCTGGTTGGGCCAAGGGCATCTCTAAGCAAAAGGTGATTCAGCTTACAAATAATGCCGCTTTTTCAGATTCACCTTTCCCATCTCACGTATTCCTGACAGAAGCAGGGTTTTAAATATTTCATAGCATTCTTCTTTCTTCTTTTTTTTGCCAGATGCCTTGAAAACACTGTCAGATTACGATCTGGGTGGGAGTTTTCAGGATCGATTTCCTTTCCTCCTTGATTGCAACGGTGTAGGTTTGCACTGAGGTTTGGTGCTTGTTTTGTGTTGTTCTTTTTTTTTACCTTTGACAGAACAGATGCCTTCAGTTTATGCAGTGAAAGATTGACTATGATTAGAGCTAATCCAGGATGGCAGGATTGGACCCCCACAGTGAAATCTAGAAAAGTGATTGCGAAAGTATTTTGTTTCTCCTTTATTAATTACACAGGAAGTTTCCACAGAAGGGCTCATGTAACACTGCTGGCCTATGTAATAAGTAGCAGGGCCTGTAATTACAGTCTGTCTCTGATCCTATCTGTGCTCTGGCTTTCTAGGCATCACAGTTCTATTTACATCTGTGTCTTTGTCACCTTTTAAATTTTTGATTGGTCACTGAGGGAAGAACAACACAAGCCGTGAGCCCTGCAGAGGTGCAGCAGCTCTGACCAAGGGAGTCCTCCACCTTCTCATGTATCTGCCTGATTTGGGACACAGAAGAGATTTTGACCAGCAAAGGGAGCAGCTGCATGCCAGCTTTGTACAGCATCTCAGAGTCTTTGTAGGACTGGAAAATCAAACCTTTTACAGCTCTTAACTAGTGTCCCATCCTGTGAGGGAGTATATGTTTCACTATTTCCTCGCTCTGAGCAGTTTCTACAGGATTTCAGCATTCTTTTCTGTAAGATCCGAGGTTTTATGGTTGCAAAGAAACCTTCCAGATATGGCAGGAGGAGGAAGATGGCTTTTAGCTCGGCTTCTCTGTGTGATGCTGTAACTGCTGTTATCAGCATAAAGTAGGAGTGGGAATGGGGCAGCAGTGATTTGTTCAGTACCAGATTCCCCAGCACTGAGCTCTGGCTGACACAGCCCTGGGCAGCCCAGCTCCTGGTCCTGAGACCTGGTGCTGAGTGAACTGGCACTTGGGGGGGTGCTCGGTGCTGGTCACCCCACAGCCCCCACCTCTTTCTTAAGAGATGCCTTCTAGAGTTAAACTACAGAATGATGCCCCCAAACCTTCTTCTTCAGGCACTATTCCCAGTGCTGCATTTGATCATGAGGAACG